AAACAAAAATGAGTTCAGTAAACCTTCTAGCAAAGATTTTAGATTTAGACATTTTAAAAATAAAAGTGAAGAGAGCTATTACTTTGCTTCCTTGGAAAAAAAGCGTCAAAAATTGAGAGAATCTGCTTTAGAGAAAAGAAAAATTGCCCGGGATCAAAAGGTTTGCTTTGTTTTTTTGTTAAAATAAAATAAAACAATACTTAGTATTTTATTTTTATTAGGTTTATAAGTTAATTTAAATTTAACTGCAATTCAATTTTTTTTTTTTACATTTAATAAACATTCATTAACTTTTTAACTACATAACTTTTAAAACTGTCATTTTTATGTTCTAATGTTGTTTTATGTCCTATTTTTATGTTTTATTGTTGTATAGTAATATATATTACACTTTAACTATGAAGGTGGTCATGTATAGAAAGTATAGAATTGGTGAACTACCAGACATTATGATCAAACATTCTGATTTAATTGTTCCTTTGCAAGCTCTGGCACAGCTTGATCATAAAATTGGGCAACAATTATTTGTATCAATATTTTTAGCAATACTAAATCAACTTTCACAGTCTAGCGAATCAATTTTGTTGAAGATTCAAAACACCCTGAATATTATTATGCAGTCTTCGATATTCTATGATTCAACTTTTATTAATGCAGTTGAAACTGTTTGTTTAAAAAACAAAGAAATGAACCTAGAGCCTCAAGTTGTGAGCAGTGCAAGTATTATTAGCTTGCAGCAACCTATTGGGATTTTGTTAATTGAAAAACAGCTTATAAGTTTGAAGAATAATATTGAAGAGCCAAAAAGTAAACGTCTAAGAGCAGACTCACAGCAAGAAAACTATATGGTTTGGTCAGAGCTTGCCAAAATCTACACTTCAATTAAAGATTTTGATTTTGTGCAAAGCATTTTTTGTTCTCAAATATCTACCAATGATGTTGTAAAGCGTGCGTTAGCAGCTGAAGCAACCAATGACTACAGCACTGCACTTCATATCTATAGAAAGGTAAAGATAATTTTTAACTAAAAACATAAGATAAATATAACAAACATAAGTTCTGATTTTATTGCTTTATAACTGTTTTCTAGGCTTCTCAAAAAGAGAATTGGGAGATAACTCCTTCATATGAAGAAGAAGAATACTGGGATACTGCTCGTTTAAGAGTATACATTTTTTTAGTTATGTTTTGATTAAATAAAAGGTATTCCATTAACCTTTTCAGTATATGATTTCTAGTGTTATGAAAATTTGGGTATGTGGACAAACTTGAAAGACTTCACATTAAAGTCTATTGAACAAATAAACGATAGTGATGATTTTGATTGCAAGAAAATGTGGGAAAATGACATTTTACAGGTAATGATAATTATTATATGATTACTGCAACCTTCTCTCTATTTAATTATGAGTAATGTGTGGACAAACGAGTAAAGTGATTTACTAACAGGGGTTATAAATGTGGTGGGGATTGGTAATGAGCTTGGTAATTTTTATTTTTGCTTTTAATTTTCAATTTTAATTGTTATTATTATTGTTTATTATATGTTCATATTCACAGGAAATTTATTTACCTTGTTACATAAGAAGTAACATCAAACTAATGGTTGAAGAAAAATATGACCTGGTTCACAAGGAATTTCAAAGTTTTATTGATTCTTCTCTATCAGATGAATATAGCAAATGTCAATTACAGGTAATTATTTTTAAACGCATGCACATTAATTTTAAAGTTAATTACGTTATTATATATGTATGTATATATATATAGCCCTCAAAATTAGGGTTAAAATTTGGCAATGTTGATTTAATTGCTAACCTAAAAGTGTTTATCAATCCTCGGAATTAGGGTCGGCATTCATATATATATATATATATATATATATATATATATATATATATATATATATATATATAAATATATATTGTAGTGATTACGTAAACATTTCTTGGTAAAAAGTGCTCAATACCAAAATAGAGCAATATATAGTAAAATCTTAAGATCTTAAAATCTTATTTCAAACATAAGTTTCAGGAAAAATTGCAATTATCAGATGTTACGAATCTTAAAAACAACGACAAAAAATATGTTTAAAATAGTGTAGTTTCCTTTTTGTTGACATTAAATTTATTGATTATGTACTTATTTTCATAACTCCACTTAGACGCAAGTTCATTTTGTTTGTTTAACAAAGGCAATATTGATGAAATTATGTGTTATTTCTCCTTTAAGCATAAATTACACAATTGGCCACAAGGTTGGTGGCAAATCACCAAGCCTGATCTAAAATTTTCCACAAAAGAATTTTCTACAAAAGACCAGGAATTTAAACCCTCTTTTTTAATATTATTTACAAATTTAAAAAGCTCTATGGAATCAGCTTTTTTTTTTTTTAAAAAACATCTTTGCTTCCAACAAGGCTGCAAGCAATCACTAAAGAACTGATGTTCGAGGAAAAAAAACAGTATTTCATACAAGATTGGATTTGAGATTTATAGATATAGAAAATAGAATCCGGAGTAAGAAAGTGTCGAGCTTGATAAAGAGAACTTTAGCAGATGCTAATTTTGCAAGGCATTTGATACATGGTTTCCAAGAAAGATCAGAAATAAGAGTTAATCCTAGAAGATGAAGGGTAGATGACTCATCGAGTACATCACCATTAATAAATATAGAAGGTCTAAATTATTGCGATAACGATTAGCTGAAAAAAATTGAGTTTTATCTGAATTAAAGTTCACCAGCCACTGTGAGCCCCATGCAGTAGCAGAAGTGAGATCAAGTTCAAATGTCCTCTCCAAGCAATCAGAGAGAGTTGGCTTATTATCATGACAATAACAAATGGTAGTATCATCAGCAAACAATGGCACCTTAGATGTGAGAATATCTGGAAGGTAGTTAATGTAAATTAAAAAGAATATAGGGCCAAGGATTGAACCTTGAGGAATCCCTGAGGTTACAGAATAAGAATAAGAGTGCTGTCCATCAAGGACAACTTTTATACTACAATTGGAAAGGAGGGATTCAATAATCTTAAAGATGTTACCAGATACATCATAAGAAAAAAGCTTATGGAGAAGACCAGCATGCCAAACATTTTCAAAACATTTAGAAATGTCAAGAGTGATAACCTCAACCTCTCCTACTTTATCTAATGCACGATAAAACCTTTTGGTTATTACTATTAGCAAATCAGCCATAGAACAAGAAAATCGAAATCCATATCTACCTGACATAGACGTCAAACAGGATCTACCTGTTTGGCGTCTATATCAGGTAGAATGTCACTAGTGGAATCAAGAGATGATATTGATCAAAAGTTCTCAGCAAACAGTTCAGCTTTGTCTATAGGTGAGGTGAAAATGTCTGAACCATACAAAAGAGGTGGAATTACAGACTTGCCCTTATTATTGATACTATTAAAGATTCTCCAGAAGGAGAATCTTTAATGGAGAAGAGTGAATATCAGGTAGAATGTCACTAGTGGAATGTCACTTGAAGTTTGACCTGGAATTATCAAAAAGCACATTTATCAACAGGAAGGCCAAAGATTTCTACCTAAGGGCCATCGCAAAGAAAATCACGGAAAGACTCCCAGTCAGCTTTAAGGTAGTTGTTAGATGTATGATAATAGGGGGATTCTGATGATAAAGAAGAATGAGATAATAGTTTTTAAGAGATCAAACTGTGATCAGAGGTACCTAAGGGTGAATATGGAGAAACTGAGCACTGACTAGGATCTTAAAGTAGAGAACTAGGATCTTAAGTTGAGTAGAGAAGGTTAATGATTCAGGTTGTCTGGAAAGTGACTATTTGAGTTAGGGATTGAGAAAGGCAAAAGTTGTCCTAATGTAATTACTAATATGGTTTATTACAAAAGGTAAATCATAATAAAACCTTAATTGATTAGGTTTTGATTTTGGATTGTTAGTTTCTAATTTTTAAACAAATGTCCTTTTTTTATGTTATCTCTTTTATTTTTTAAATTTATTTTTATTTTAGATGCGCTTTTGTGAAGATTTGGCTTTACTTAAAATACTACAAGACAATTATGGGGCTGCGCATCACTTTCTTAAAATTGCAGAAACCTCATTTCTTGATGTAAGTTTTTAGTTTTTACAATAAAATATACAATAAATACTTTAGGTAATAAAAATTAGTATTAAAACTAGGTTTTAATACTAATTCTGCAACAACATGGTACCATTTTTTTAATAAACACAATATGATGCGATTTTGTTAATAAAAGCAACATGTTACCATTTTGTTAATAAAAATTATTGTATATAAACAAATGTAGTAACATTTAAATTATTTGTAATATTTTACAATTATATTTTTTATTTTTTTATACTTTTTTTTTTTTTGTACTTCAGTAGAATTTTGTTAACTCTGACTTTCAAAGCGAATTTATTTATTGTCCAACTTTTTATATGGCTTTATCTATTGTCTGAATTTACTTTTATACGATTTCAAGAGTTATTAAATTTTTTTGAATAAATAAATATATACATATATGAAGAACTAAAGAATCTTTTGTGAAATATATTTTAACACATAATAAATATTATATATGAAATTGATGTTTGTTTTTACTAACATATTTTCCAAACAGCTTTGAAGTATTTAAAGCTGCTTTTTTATTTTCACCACTATGAGTAAACATTAAAAAATTAAAAAAGGGTGTTACTTGTTCACTTATTAATTTATCTTTGTTTCTTATTTCATTAACTTCTTGTTCTTTTTGCATTTCATTGCCAACCTGAATAATATCTTTAAAAAAATTTTTACTACACTTTATTACACTTCCTATTACTGAAAGATCATCATCAGCTGCTGACATAACTTATAAGTAAAGTTATTTAGAACAAAATCCTCATCACTCTGTTGTAACTGATTGAATAAACATTCTAATGCAGAAAAGTATTCATTATTTAAATCTTGTACTCCTTCCTTACATCCTGCTTTGCAAAAAGAGTTAATAATAGTGGTTTCTGAAACTTAATTATTTCAAATTTTCCAAGAATAAACAACCATTTTCATAAAATCGACTATTTAAGACATTTGTTTTTGGTTGTCATTTATGATCTTGTTAGTTAATAAGTCAAGTACTTAGTTAATAAGTTAGGTACTTAATTAATAAGTCAGGTACTTAATTAATAAGTTAGTTACTTGTACTTCAGTGTTTGAATGACTCCCTATTTCATTGGCTGCAAACAGAAAGTTGTATTTAAAATTCTCAATGAAAGTCAATTTAAGATTCTGGATGGACAGTGGACAATGGATGGTCAGTTCATATATAAATAAGCAATGGTTACATCTTATGGCATTCTATTTCAAACTATTTCAAATTTCTTTAATCCAGACATTTCTAAATATATATATATATATATATATATATATATATATATATATATATATATATATATATATATATATATATTTTTTTTTTTTTTTTTTCTTTAATTCAGACAATGAAAATTTTTTGTATCTTTACATGAATTAAAAAAAAAAGAGCATAAAATCCTTTAAATGAAAATGATTTTTAATTAATGAAATAAAGACACTTAAGATTCGAATTAAATCACATTTAAGCTTCAATCAAACTAAAAAAATAAAGATAACCTACAAAAAACAACAAATATATATATATATATATATATATATATATATATATATATATATATATATATATATATATATATATATATATATATATATATATATATATATATATATATATATATATATATATATATATATATATATATATATATATATATATAGGGGAGGTAGGGGAGCATTGGTCACTTTTTTACATAAATGCTAATAAATCTGTTATTTTTTATCATAATCAAAATTTTATTTCAAATATATCTAGCACACATATTTGGCATTAATTATTGCTAAGAAGAGTATTATAGTTAGTTATAGTATTATATTAGTTAGTTAATATATTATAGTATTATATTAGTTAGTTAGAGTATTATTATAAGTATTATAATTAGTTGCAAAGTTACAAAAGGTTTTCTAACACGTGTCCAAAGTGCCCAAACCTCCCCGTGGTTGGGAGGTTTGGGCACCCCTATGGGGAGGTTTGGGCACTGTATTTAATATGAATGATATTGTTTTACTATACTCATATGCTTAAGTGTTGTATAGCATTGCTATAAAAAATTGTAACACAAACATTTTTTCATATCATAGACTTTACAAAAGATTAAACAATGTTACTTGGAATCAATACTCCACAATGTTGGACCTAATAAGACTTATCTTATATTTGGTATGACCCAAAGAGACTTGTCAAATTTATATTTTAAGCTGCCACGTTTTATCCATGTTGATGGTGTAGGCAATTTTGTCTTTATATCCTCCAGGGGGACACTGGCTACGTCCTCGATGTCAGGAAACATAAACGTATTTCTTATCTTACTCGCTCTCATGAATTTGACAGTTGCCATGGAGTGAATAACCTCTTCGACAATTCCAACATAATGATAAACAGTTTTTTTGGTGTCAAATTTAACCAACACAAAGTTATTAACCTGGAAATTTCTATCCAGAACAATCACATCGTCTACATCAAAATCTTCTTTTGATGAATCGATTTCAATAAAGGCTTCGTCAGAATCGGAAACATTTTTTATTTCATCATCACTACTAATCTTCCTGTTTTTCTCATTTTTAGAGCATTTTCGATTTTTGTTGAGCTCTTTGATCTTATTTTTTCTTTGTTTTTTTTTTTCTTCAATTTCTATAAGTCTTTTCTCCGGTGTGTCTGTCAATATTCTAGTTTTTCCTTTCTTCCGTTTCATGCCACCCAATTTCCTGGGGCCGGCTTTCGGATATGGTCTTACTAAATCAGGTGTTACATTGACAGTGCCACTAGTCTGGCTTTTAGATAGAGATTCAAGTTGAGATGGCCCAGTGACTTCCACATTTGAACTAGTACGATCTTCTAGTCTCAGATTTTCTTCTGTTGAAGGCTGTTCCATGATAGGTTGGTCTGAAATCGATTTTTCTGTAGCAACATTATTCTCTCCCGGCAAGTAGCGATCAGTTATAGAAGAACAAACGAAATCTTCATCAGAGAAAATGTTTGAATTGAATGGCCAAATGCCAGATTTTTCAAATCCCGTTTGAATACTTTGCAACTTGAATGCAAGTGGGATGGCCTTTGCTGCTAATTTTGGGATTTCATAAATTGTTACCGTTTTGCCAGGATTGCTCACCATCCAATCTGTTACAGCAGTGTTATAATAAGTTTTGAGTGGTCCATAGACAGTCAGGTCTAGGGGTTGCAGTTTATGGCTGCAGTGCGGTGGGAAAGTTATTAAAACAATGCCTGATTCTGTACAAAAATCGAGAACTGGTACAGAAATATGGCTCTCGTGATTGTCCAGCAGCAATAGAACTGGTGATGAAGGCGTTGGTTTTGCGTATTTTTTAAAATGGTGTATATATTTTAAAAAACTTGATGCTGTCATCCACCCTGAAGGATGTGCTGCTCCATCTGAACCAACAGGTGCATCATTCAACATATATGTTTTGAAAATAACTCGTGGGAATATGAAAAAGGGTGGTATTGAGTTACCCAATGCATTAATGCCGCAGCAAACAGTTACAAGTGTCCCTCTTTCAGCTGACGTTACTTGCCCAACTTGCTTAGTGCCTCTGAGAGCAATCACTTTCTGGGTTCGTTGTACTGTACTATAATCCAGTTTCATCTATATTGTAAATAGACTCAGGGCCAAAACGATGTCATTCATATACAGTTTTAAGATTTACAAAAAAATCTCTAACATTTTTCTTATTGAAACTTGTGGCACGTGAGAGACAAGTAGCTTCTGGGGTCCTTATCGAAAGCTGAGGTTGTCTTTTAAAAAATCCCCTTAGCCAATCTTTCGATGCAAGTTTCTTCTCTATCCAGTTGTCTGGTATTTTTTTATTAATGGGAGTGGCATATTCGTATACTAATTCGCGTGCTTTCAGTTTTGACATTCCATGGTTAAGTTTAAACAATGTTACAAAATATTCTGAAATTTTTTCTTCTTCATCTTTTGTGAATATTTGGGATGATATATATTTACAAGAAGTATCTTTCACAGCGCCACCCTGTTTTATGTATCTTTGAAGGTTAGACCTGGGTATATCATATTTAATCGCAGTAGTTTTAATTTTTCCTCCTTTAGAAACCTCTTCCAATGCACGCAAAATTACATCTTTAGGGATTTCACGTCGTTTATTTTTCTTTTTAAATAAAAACGGCATTGTCCTGAAAAGAAATGATTAACCATTCAATCCAATAGTCATAGCAAAAAAACACAAACATATGACAAAAAAACACACTAAAAAAAGAGGGAGCATTGGGCATGCCCAAACCTCCCTCCTACCTGCGTGCCCAATGCTCCCCATAACCTCACTTTTTAAACAGATTTGAATAAGTTTATTTTTATCAAATGTTGAATCCTAATTGTCAGGTAAATATAATGTTCATTAAACACAAAAGAAGAAGTTAACACAGATACTTACAATTTCTTGCAGATTTCTTTGTTATCTTTCTTCAAATCATAAACAAAATATTTACTTTTGAACGCAACAAACTGTTAAGCGCATGTAACTTGACAACCAAGTGAAACGACAGCTGACACTTTTGATGAAAAGTGTTGCCAATTATAAAACTATAATGCTATGGTAAAAAACAAAAAATATCTAGAAAAGATGGTGAGAAATGAGGGGGTGCCCAAACCTCCCAACTGCCCAATGCTCCCCTACCTCCCCTATATATATATATATATTTTATATATATATATAAATATATATATATATATATAATATATATATATATATATATATATATATGTATATATATATATATATATATATATATATATATATTTACTAAAGCGTGTTCTTATAAGCATTTGCTCACTTTTTTTGCTTAGCTTAATCCATATGGCTTTTTTAGAAAAAAAAGAAAAAAAATGAAGAATGATGAATGAAACAATTGCTGCCCCATCCCAAACCCTAAGCCGATGTAGCAGCACTCCACATTGAGTCAGGCTACTTGTCAGTTGATGTATGTACTGAAGCCCCCGACAGCAGACTATTTTAGCATGATGTCAGATCGCTTAGCTTAGTACGCAATACTATTTGTATATATATATATATATATATATATATATATATATATATATATATATATATATATATATATATATATATATGTATATATATATATATATTCACACACACACATATATATATATATATATAATATATATATATATATATATATATATATATATATATATATATATATATATATATATATATATATATATATATATATATACATTTATTTATAAATCTTTATTTAAAATTGATTAGCATTACAAATAGTAAATTGTACAATTTTATCTATTGTTAATTGATGAGTGAAAATTAGCTAAAAACACAGAAAAAAGAACCGATTCTTTAAGTGTTGAAAAAGCAGCAGAGTTGCCAATGTTTTGTGGGATTTAGAAGTCACTGACACCATCACGAAGAATACGTAGGTGTTTTTGAATAAAGGATTGCTGATAGGAAGCAGTGATTGCGGTATTTAGAGCGAATGGGGATCTATTTGGGTTTCTGCTATTATTGCAAGGTAATTAAGTGGTTATCGGATGGTTTCTGTCTGCAAGGATTTTTTGAAGGATTATTAATACAGTCTTGTTGAGTAATTCTGCAATGTCAAAACAAATATTAAGACAGCTCGAGTTGGTTGCATCAACTCCGATGATACATAAGTCATTTTTTGTAATATATATATATTTACACATAGATATATACTATTTTAGTGTGTTCTACAAATAGAGTGCTTAATGATCTTAAGGAACAGTGCAATAATAAATTAGTAAATGCAATTATTGAGTTTTTTTAAAAAAAAAACTGTTTATTAATCAGTAGGATCATCAGTAAGAACTTATACATACATATATATGTATATATATATGTATATATATATATATATATATATATATATATATATATATATATATATACATACATATATATATATATATATATATATATATATATATATATATATATATATATATATATATATATATATATATATATATATATATATATGTATATATATATATATATATATATATATATATATATATATATATATATATATATATATATATATATATATATATATATATATATATATATATATATATGTATATATATGTATATATGTGTATATATATATATATATATATATATATATATATATAAATATATATATATATATATATATATATATATATATATATATATATATATGTGTATGTGTATATTTATATATATATATATGTATATATATATACATACATACATACATACATACATACATACATACATACATACATACATACATACATGTATATATTTATATATATATATATATATATATATATATATATATATATATATATATATATATATATATATATATATATATATATATATATATATATATATATATTTATATTTATATGTATATATATAATTGCTTATCAAAAAATTAATTAGGAATGGTCACTAACAAGTCAATTTATTAATGATGATTGCATGATAAAGTTAAACAAATTGCAAAGAGTGGAAGAGATGATCAGCTTTGTCAGTTTGATGACAAGTGACAGTAAATGAATTTTTTTTTTTTTTCAATAAATCTTGTAGAGCCAAGATTTATTTTAAAATTTGTTAAAATTTTATAAATTTCTGTGAGTAACTTTTTTTATTTTTATATCTTTAGATTATAAAGACACTGCTAAAGTTCAGGAGTTTTTTTCTTATTGGTCAAATCGACTTCCTGATCCTAAAAAGCATTCAACTATAGCATGGAATGATATTGTTCTTAGTCGGTAATAAAATATTAGATATAAGATATTTTAGTTATTATTGATATTTAAAAATGTCTTACTGACAACTTTAAAATGTTTATGAAAGAAAAGATTTTCTGATAAAGAGAAAGTTCTTTTAAAAAAAACTTTACTTATTTTGTGTTTTTGGTAAGCATACCAAATTAAATTTGGTTTAGCATTTTAAATTTTTATTTTTTATGTTTTTATTGGAAGCATGCTCTTGTTTTAAACATTTTTAGCTGTTGAATTTGTTGTTAATTTGATTTCTAATTTTTAATCCTGTAATGGAGTTGTTGAAAATTTTTGTTTTTGAGTTCTTTCTTTTTATTTGACTTTTATCTTCTTTTTTTTTTTAATAATATTTTTGTCTCCTTAAGGTTGAGGGTGCTACAGTTGAGAAAGCTTATTTTTTTAAATTGTGGTTACAACCCTCTCCTAATTTTTTATCTCCAAAAATCAAACCTCAATGAACACAGTTCCAGGTCAGATCTTAATGAATGCAGAATCTGGCCACACAGTCATATAAGTGTGATGCCTGGTTCAACAAGGTTTATTTAAATAATATAGTTTGTTTTTTAAAAAAAGCTTCATTTTTTGAATTTTCAAATAATGGTTTTAAAATATTTTACTTAAAACATTATCATATAATTTTAGTAACAGACAAAAAATAAATGAATTGAATGTTATATTAGTAAATATTATTTTTTTTTATTTGTTTAATTGCAATATTGTTTGAAGGATAAATAAAAAGCTCTCTGTCAATTTAATCAGAAATCAAAACATCTAAAAGAGTGCAGTCTTGTGAGGACAATGAGGTAATTAAGTGAAGAAATGAAAGCGCATAAATAAATAGTTAGAGAATTCAAATCTGGTATTGCAACAAATAGATAAACAAACTGATACGCTAGTATACGTTCAGGCCAACCATGTGACTATTGTAATGTGATGTGACAGATTCAATAGATGAAAAGTTGCTTCAAAGATCTCAAACTTTTGTCAAAGATAGATTAAGACATATGGTGGTGGTGATGATGGTAGTGATGATTAATGGTTTTTTGATACCCTTAGCAACGAGCTATGCATTTGCCTTAATTCTGCTAATCAACTCAAACAAATAGCTTCTTATGTTGTCTTGCACACCAAAAGCAATAACAGGGGCATCATCCATGCACAATTTAACACAATTTAATACTCTGATATTTTATAAATATTGGTGGGATTAGCCTTACTGAAGGCTACAGAGTTCAGGAAACCTTACTACTAACCAGCCTCAGGTGATATGGAGTCATTTCATCTCAATCAAAATAGCATTTAACTTGCTAGAGATTAGAACATACCAGAGATAAGAACATACCAGAGATAAGAGTATACAGAGCATTAGAACATACCAGAGATAAGAACATACCAGAGATAAGAGTATACAGAGCATTAGAACATACCAGAGATAAGAACATACCAGAGATAAGAACATACCAGAGATAAGAGTATACAGAGCATTAGAACATACCAGAGATAAGAACATACCAGAGATAAGAGTATACAGAGCATTAGAACATACCAGAGATAAGAACATACCAGAGATAAAAGTATACAGAGCATTAGCAATCAAAAAAATTAAAAAAAAAAAGTAAAGATCAAAGATCAGAGCCTTTAAATAAAAATTTAATTTAAATTTTTTAAAATAAAATTTTTTAAATAATTTAAAAAATTTAATCCCATTAAAAGTTTATGGTCAAGAAAATTTCAAATAAATCAAAGTAAGTTTTAACAGCATGAAAGATTTAAAATCATGATTCAAAATCCTGAGAAAAATCTTTATCAGGATTCCAAAATAAAAATTTGAAAACACCACTTCAAAAAAATGTTAAATGTCAAAAATTTTAAAAACTGCTAATAAATGATTTTAAGTTAATACTTTGAAATAAGTTTATGTTCTTGTTAATGTTATTAAATTAGTTTGAATTAAAATTAAATAATAGATATAGCATTTATTAAATAAACTTTATTGTTTTTAACTTCAGTTTTTATATTTTCCTTTATTATCTCTCTTGTGATATGACAACAAACATATATAATATTATTTTGTTTTTTTATTTTAAAGTTTATTTTAAACCACCTGTCATTGTTATTACAATCATTAAAAAAGTGATTATGCAAATTTTTTATCATTCATATGTTTTAAATTTTTTTTTGGAAATATTGCATTAAAGCTTTTTGTTAACTTTTACCATAATAATAAAGTTTTTTTTATATTGATATATATTTTCTTAAATATTAAAAAATTATTTATATTAATAAAGGTTGTTTTGTTTTTTTATAGTTGCGCTTTCATTAAGAAGTTCAAATCTGTATATTTATCAGACCGGTAATAGTTTTTATTTTGCTGTTTTCTTAGCTTTGTTTATAACAAAAGTTTTTTTAAGTGATTTTTAGCATAGTCTCTTAAAGACTCTAAAAAATTTGGTTACTAAAATAACTATGTTATTATATTATGTTGTTATAGTAACCAAAAGTTTTTTGAATTGTTCTAATGAGAATTTGTTTATTTAATTATAATTACCAGCTGATTCGACCCGCAAAAATATGGGTCTATTCTAGACCAACATTTCCAATATTTTATTTAGTATATTATATCTAATATAAATACATTGAATGCTGTCTATAATGCATTACATCCTACTGTTTGCACCCATTAAGTTCTATTCCACTGATCATTTCTATACTTATTCCTTATTTATTTCAATATTTTTTAGTAAATGGTAGTATAATATTTTATTTAATTATAATAAACATTCATTTTTTGTTTTTTTTTGTTTGTTTTTTTATAAAATATTGTGATTTTTAAATAATTCTTTTATAAATTTCTATGTGTTGCTAATATACAATATAGTTGCACTTGTTTAGAATACTCATTTAGAAAGTGTTGCATTATTTAGAATACTGAATACTTATTTAGAATAAGTATTCAGTATCCCAAATATTCAGTGCGCGGTTTTAATAATAAGTTGCATTATTTTAATTGGTATAAAAAGTTTATAAAATGTTTTGCTTTTCTTTAAAATACATATCTTCAGTAGCTTAGTGGATTAGTGCGCTGTCTTTTTTAGTGACATCCTGATAATTATGTGAGTTCAAATCCTCCGCCAAGCATAAAAATAAAAAACCTTTTTTTATTTATTTTTAATCATGGCGAACAAGGCTTCTGCATGAAGAATTAAATTAAGTGTGGTACTAGGTGGGGATCGAACTTGGAATTATTTGCTTATGAGGCAAGGGCTCTACCACCAGTACTACATCACTATCACAAGTAGTGTGCTTAAAATTTTAGTAATAGTGGTGCTGAAATTTTATTTTAACACCACTATTACTAAAATTTTAAGACCATTATAATTGTTACTTTATAATTATAAATTTAACACCATTATATTTGTTAAAATAAAATTTTAAAGTGTTCTTATATTATACATGTATTATACACAGTTGTTCGATATGTACCACCACAAACTCTATTTATGCTAAAGACATTTACACTTACAGACATTTGTTTGTAAGTGTAAATGTATTTGTATTTTAAATGATATATATTTTAATATATATTTATTTATTCTGCATATAAATTTCCCTATACTTCCTTATAAAAACATGCTGAGTTTTTATAAGTATAGCAAAATTTATATGCAGAATAAATTTGCCATTACCTTAGCTTTTATGGCTGCCAAGAGTTCTGTGTCACACACGCATGGGTGGGTGTTTGACATGAAATATTACAATATTACATGTATCCATAATTAAGTAATACACATGATCATTTATAACACTTGCATACACTTGGAGGTGACATAACTGACACTATACAATAATGTAATAAATTAAAGCGATATAAAAAATTATAGAGTCATTTGGAGTGAGGTTGAAATTAATATCATCATAAGTTTGTGCTATTTTTGACTTTTTTTTTTATTACAATTTCCTTTCTTTTTATAATAAATTTTTTGATGTGCTAGTCTTTGGCTTTACAGACTTGTTCTTGAAGTTTAATAGTGAAATAAGTTTTAAGTATATGTGCATTTAGTTA